AAACATGTTGTCTTAGACTTCATAAAATTTGCTTTTTAATATGTGTGATATTATTTTTTCTTATGTAAATAGTTCTGCTTCATCCAAACATGATGAAAAAAGAAAAAAAAGCATTGATGAAATCTTGCAGTGTGTGTACACGATCTTTTACTCTAAGCTATAAGATGGTTGTGTTGTTTTTCTTTACTATGAAATACTTTTGAAAACAAAGTATGAGTTGATAAACAAACAAAAAGTGAAGCCTTTTGTGCAAGTATGTCAATATGATAGTCATTAGTTTAGAAAAATTTACTCTTTCTGATTAGTTTTCGATTTCGGAAAAAAATTCTGATTTTTAAGTTTTTCATCTAGTAATTCTGGGAAAAATACCAGAAGCGATTCTTTTCTTCATTCTTCACAAAAAAGTGCATGTGTAATTTAGACGGAAGAAAAAAAAAAGAGTTACTATCTAATTCAAAAATCAATAAATAATTCTGAAAAAGTAAAATTTCAATGGGCAAATCTCGAAATGAAATGGTCAATTGCCCATTTGTCCCTTCCTTGACTACGCCGCTGCATACAAACGAAAGTGGAAGAATAAGTCAATGCAAAAGCATAAAATCGAAGTCGGACAGGTACTAATTAGGGCACTTGATCACTGGAATGATTGCTCGCGAGTATGGATCTCGCGGATATTGCTGTGAGTAGCTGACATGGACTTTCTCTTCATGTACATCCAGATCTACGTCTATATGTGACAGAAAAGGAATGAATGTATGAATGAATCTGTTTATGTTATATTATATCAGTTATCAAGTTAAAGTCAAAAAACAAATCAGTCTAATATATTTAATTAAATTTTTGTATAATTACGATGTTTATGGCTCACTTTCCGTACTTCAGTTTTTTTTGCATGTTGATAGATTGTTAAAATTAAATTCTTTTTATCATTTAAATATTTTTCTTTTATCAATTTTGATATTTTCTATATCGATAAAAATATTATTGGTGATGAAGCGAAATTTTTGTATCTCTAGAATGGTAACAGTATAACAAGTTGAAGTTTTTAAAGATGTATCTGCTATGCAAATTTCAGTTCTTTCTATAAGCAATGGGAATATATGCTAGAATGTCCTTTAGAGTAAATGTTCAAAATATAACAAGCAAAAAAATTTTACTTTCTCATTTCATTTTGAATTCTCTCCACATGAGTTTTTCCAAGTTCATGAATTTCATCTGGACTCATATTTGTTGTTGTATGATATTCTAAACATAATTTATAATATTTATCACCATTTGGTAATTTCCATAAACCATGATCTGTTTTAACATTTGATAAATCTTCATAAAGAATATTTAATAAACGTTCATATGCTGGAATAACATTTATTTTAATAATATTTAATAAACGATTAATCAATTCATTTTGTTTTTCTTTCTAAAAATATTTTAAGAAATTCATAGGAAAAATTATTTTCTTTCTTTTCAAAATATTTACTGAACAAATTCTATCATTGAGTTTATCAATGAAAGTAATAATTAAAGGACTAAAAATAAATTAAATTTGAATGAATTATAGATAAATAATTGATTTGTTCTACCTTTTATTTGGTTCATCTCGTAATTGTTTTTGAAATGGTTCAAGACCATCAATAACTCTTTGAAGAACAAATCGTGGTGTTTCAATATTTCTATGACGTCGTTCTATTTGTTGTTCAATAAGTTGATCAAATGCTTTTGATATTCTTTGTACCTTTTAAAAATAAGACAAATAAAAATTCATTAAATCAAAATCTAGAAAAAACTTTACTCGAATAAGATAAGCTTCAGCATCACTTAGTTTTAATATTCGATGAAATTTTATTATAAATGATATTATATCAAATTGTGGACCTGATTTTTGATTTATTAAATAATTATGATAATCAAATTCATTACTAAGTTCTCTATTTAAATTTATATTCAAATAATATTCTAAAATATCATATGATTGTCTTTGATCAGGTGACATTTTTTTGTTTTTAAATGAACGAAGATAAGTTAATTCTTTTTGAAATTTCTTTTTTTCATGTTCATGAAATGATGTTGAATAATCATGTAATTGAGTTTTAAATAAATCCAAACCACTATTACAAAAAATAATATCTTTATTTTTTTTTTTGTTGTTGTTAGAATAAATACTTACAGTGGTCGAAATTGAGATAAAAGATCAGGACTTTCAAGTAACAATTCAAAGGAAAATCTATTTAAAATATTTTTTGTCAATCGAATAATAAATCTTATATTATACAGTACCTTGTATAAAGTATATTAAGAGTAATTGGATTAAAATAAGCATTTTTAATAATTATTTGTGACCATAAAATAAGTATAACTAATGTAAGATAAAAATTAATCAAAAAGAAAAATCCAATTGGTAAACAACATAAAAAACATGTTAATGCTAATTTTAATTGTTTCCAATACCAAGAATTTGGAATTAGTGACATTGGATGTTCTCTATGATTTGTTATTAATATGCAGCGTTTCTAATGGAAATCTAAAATAAAATGTACAGTGCACGCTGTTTTAAATAAGCAAAATGTACGGTGTTTACGCCGTATATTATAAAAAAATAGGAAAAACATCTTCATATCTGTTTTACCCAGTAAAAAATAGAGAATAATAATAGATATATAAATAGAAAACAAGGAAAAAGTAATCTGTGTATGATTCATTTAGAACGATTCACTACATGAAAGTATAGCATTAGATGGTCCTCTTCATCATCATGAAAACCGGTATGATTTGAAGAAAACTAAGCTGAATATTGTAATTTTTGATTTTTTTTTTCTGCAGCTATCACATCAGTATCGGAAACGACTTTATATAAATCTGAAAAGAAAAGAAATTACGAAAAGAAAGAATGTCAATCAACGCATAGAAAAAATAAAAAATAGACTAGAATCGGATCATCGTTTAAATATAATTTTTAAGCTTAAACTACATTTAAAATCTCCCTTGCAAAATGTACAATACACACTCTACTTTTTAAGACAAGTGTACAGCAGCGTGTATTTTCAAAGCTGCAAATGTTTGTACATTTTGTTTCTGCCGTGTATACTTGCCATTAGCAACTCTGTTGATGTGGAATAAAAAAAAACAACTATTTGGTGTGAGTCATCGATAAGAAAATGTATCAGAAGTAAGATAGAGGGCGTTATTAAAAAAACAACAGAATCTAAAATAGTTAATGTTACCTTTCCATGCGACATCATCTATTTTATCAATCTTTTCTTTTGATTTCTTTCAAATAAGACAAATACGCTTATAGAATTATTTGTCAAAAAAATATTCGACAATTATATCATTGTTTAATTGATGATATTAAACTATGAAAACTTTCAGTATTAACCTACACGAGTTTTATTTAAACGACATATGTGTCTTTTCGAATTATAGATAAGTATATATGTGGTGGAGCAATGTGAAATTAGAAGCGGTTCGAAAAAAGATTTCAAGTAGTGACAACAAGGTAGAAAAACGGAGGTATTAGTTCATTATTAGAGCATTTTAACTTTCTCAAGAAACCTCTCAAGGCAACAACGGATGAAGGATGTACGATGGAGGAATGTTCTCTCGCTTTCAAGAAGTGTTTTCCATTTATCCAAGTAAAAACAAACGAAAAACTAGTTTTCACGATCTTGGATGAGCTCGGAAAATGTTTTGTGTCTAAATTCGTTTCCTTTCATTCTAAAGCCTTAGGTTTGCTATTGATTGAAAAGTATTTTGAGAAGTTTTTTCAATTTCATTAAAATAGAACCTTTACACTACGATGTCGAACGCAATAAACTAACTGTCTATCTATCAGAGATGTTCATCATGGCTGAAAATCTGCCGCTGCGCGCCGCGATAACTTATAACTAGCGAAATTAATAACGAGTATAACTCATTAATATTATAGATCCGTATTTCTCTATCTTCTTTCCTTTCTTACTCTTGTAATTTATGAATTCTTCAGACACTGACGAATGCTTTAATATATCAGTAAGTTTTTGCGTTACTAAGCTGAAGAATGAATGCTAATTATTTTTTTTTTTGAACAAAAGAAAACTTAAAAATTTCATCTGCATTGTTTATATATATAACTGGTTTGCGGATATTTTTCGTAAACAGAGTTTTTGGCTTCGTAAAAGAATTCGGCACTAGATGTCTTTTGCTAGTTTTTTTTGTATTAACTAACAGTTGAAGGTCATGCAACGACAAATTAAGAAGATCGCTTATAGTCGAATCAAATGAATGCTCTTACTTACAGACCAATTAGTTTAAAATATGAGCTGCCAATAGCGTACACAGACTGAGATGTTTAAATTTTAAGATACTTACAGTTTGTCATGTGTTCACACTACGAAATTTCATCAATTTTTAGTTTTCTTTTTTTGTCATGATTGAATGGAACACGACTAATTTATATAAGGAGAAGCAATATCACACACACACACATTCAAAAGCAATTTGACAGTAATTAAAATTTGTTGTTTGTTACCCTCATAATTAAAAACATGTTGTCTTAGACTTCATAAAATTTGCTTTTTAATATGTGTGATATTATTTTTTCTTATGTAAATAGTTCTGCTTCATCCAACCATGATGAAAAAAGAAAACAAACCGTTGATGGAATCTTGCAGTGTGTGTGCGCCATTGGCAGCTCATATTTTTAACTAGTTGGTTTGATCCGACTATAATTAACCTCCTTAGCTTATAGTGCACGATCTTTTACTCTAAGCTATATGATGGTTGTGTTGTTTTTCTTTACTGTGAAATACTTTTGAAAACAAAGTATGAGTTGATCAACAAAAAATAGTGAAGCCTTTTGTGCAAGTATGTCAACATGATAGTCCTTAGTTTAGAAAAATTTACTCTTTCTGATTAGTTTCTGATTTCGGAAAAAAATTCTGATTTTTAAGTTTTTCATCTGGTTGGTAACTCTGATGAAAATACCAGAAGAGATTCTTTTCTTCATTCTTCACAAAAAAGTGCATGTGTGATTTAGACGGAAGAAAAAAAAATAGAGTTACTATCTAATTAAAAAATCAATAAATAATTCTGAAAAAGTAAAATTTCAATGGGCAAATCTCGAAATGAAATGGTCAATTGCTTATTTGCCCCTCCCTAGACTACGCCACTGGTATACGATCAGGAAAATTTTTTCAAATATATGAGATTCCGTTGTCTTTTTTTGGGGAAAGCATATTTCTCTCCAAACGTAAGATTACTGCCACTTATGTAAATAAGAAAAAAATTGAAAATGAAAAAACATATCAATATTCCTTATTGTCTCAATTACAAATTTATTTAGTGCGATTACAGGTGTGGGTGTAGTGTTGATCTTCTTTTATTCTCACCAATACCCACACGCACACACAACATAAAATAGTTGATAGAGTGGATGTCGATATTCTTGAAGTAACGATGCAGTGCAACCAAAATACTAGCTGATTGATATTCGAGTAAAATATGCTATTGAACGCAGAAAATTTTGTCCAGTTTGGGGACAAGGAAGTTTGATCAATGGGTTCTTTTTTCCAAAGTAGTTTCATGCTTCCTTTTCTACGCTACAACCATCATCTGACGCTATTTTATTATTGCATTCAGTCTTCCTAGAACTCTAGGAGAACGTACAAATAATTATGCAACAATTAAATTCGAAGACACTGCTAAGAAAATAGACAAACGTGTTTTGCATATAATCGAGACGAGTCATATGGCCACTAACTATGATTATGTTGAGGAATCATCCATTGAGCCTTAATTCAAATGTTCGATTTGTTAATATCCATTCATTCAACCAGTAACAACTGATTGTAATCACACTTTTTGTCATTCGACATGTCCAATTTATCGTCAAAAAATTACGAACAAAGATGAACACTCGAATATTTCAAACCTAACCTCTCTCGATTGTCGATTAATATTGAACATGCTCGATCGTCTTCTTGTCATATGTCAAGCATTCCAAGAGGCAACTATGATGGTCAATCTGAAAGAAATTTCCGAAAGCTATTGTTAATTGTAGGGTCTGTACGTGTAAATCAATGGTGAGAGCAATTTTCACTTGTATTCTTCGAAACACTATCGATCTATTACGATAATCTTGAATTACACATTATTGGACGACAAGTTAAAGAACATATTTTTTCAGAATTATTCAATTACAATTGGAAAAATTACAGTTAGTTGATTTTGAGAAACAGTGGACAAATATTGATGAATTTGAAATTACCATTTTTGACAACAATTCACCTAGCAATCGATCGAATCATCAATGAAAATTTGCTTTAACATATCTCTATTTCGAATAATGGATCAAATTATGATTATTTTCATGAATGAAAGATTTGTTATGACAAACAGATAGGAAGGAATTGACACTATTTGACCAGTAAGAAGTATGGACGATTTAATCATCCGTGACAAATAATTTTCGCCTGTCATTGTCATAGCTATAGATGTACTGTTATTATATATAGTAATATTTGATGACATGTCAATGAGAGAGAGATTTAAACTAAGTTTATATATAGACGAGTCTACTTTCAAATATCACTTTGTAAATAGACGATACAATACGCAAATGACTCTTTGTTTTTGTTTTTTGACCGATGGTCAGATTAGATGTATAGTAAAATGTTGAAAAGAAATTGTAGATTTTACTTTTGTAGTCTGAAATGTAAATCAAATCTCTTGTGAAAATTACAAAAAACATCATTTACTATAGAAAAATCATTATAATGATAATAATTAGGTTAAGGTATAGTGGCATTATATGAATACTTAGATATATCCTTCGAAACATATTCTCCTGCCACATCGTCCGTCTAATGTTTAACAACATTTGAATCTAATATTTCTAGAATATAATGACGTCAAACAAGAAATCAACAAGTATTAATTTTTTAATCCGTCGAAGGAGAATGTATTAATCAAAGAGAATTACGTAGTAAATATTTTTTCAATTAATATGAAAATGCTTGGTCGTTTCAAGGCATAAATACTAGCATAGATCATTGTGATACGCAAGATCTTCATGAAAATTTTTGAGACCAGAATGCAGATATTTATATTAGAATAAAATTTGATTGTTTCAAAATTAAAAACAAATATTTTCAATAAAGCGAATGCTAATTAAAAAAGGTAGACAATGAGAGAAAGAAAGGTAATAACATGTTTTCATGGCTCATTATTTCCAATGTTTCTCAGCATGTCCTTCCTGTCATTGAATTGCTAGCTTTTTATTACTTATGGTATTGTTAACTCATCATTATCAGGATTATGAATTGAGTTGCAGTGACAGATTTGCTCTGGATTTAAAGTGATAAGCTTTTCAGGTTACATAATTCTCAAAACAACTTAGCTTCCTTATCGTTACTCAGGTAGAGTAGCTGAGGAACCAAGCTGAGACCAAAAAAAAGCTCTTTCAGAGGACAAAAATAGCTTAATCATTAAATTT